TGACACACCATCAGAAAGTGGTTCCCAAACAAGTCATTGTCTTGAATGACACAAACTTTTGTTACACTTATTCACTGCTAATACGGCAACAGATGGCATACTCTCTCTCTCTCTCTCTCTCTCTCTCTCTCTCTCTTTCTTTCTCTTTCTCTCTCTCTCTCACCAATTGTGTGGACATTCTTATGATTCTGTATTAAGTGATAATAGAGTACAAGATTCTTGTAATAAGAAGAATCAGTTTCTCTATATGTGTAACACATACACAGGGAATGGTGTTATAGTTTGTGTGATTGGAGTGAATGTGTAGTAAAACTGATGAACATTTTATTTTGTAGATTTAGTTAACTATTAGTTGTATTATTAGTATACGATTTATAAGAGAATTACTCTATGATTGGTTTTACAAAATTTAGTTCACATTTTTCAAAATTAATTTGATTATTATGTAATGTATTTAGGAAAAGTTATGAAAACTATTTGAATAAGTTAAATTGACTCACTGACTAGTTCTAACATTGTTTAATAACATCTTACGGTAATTGTGAAGGTAGAAAATTGTGTGCAAGGTTAATCTATGACATATTTTAAGGAATTTTTTTAAACATTCTTTTATATTAAAGTAAAAATTACAAAGTTTTTCCATTTTCTACTTGCTACAATTCAATATTAATACTTTTCATTTTTGATTTCAACATTATTTAATATAAAATTCAAAATATTTTACAATAATAAACTAGAATATTTTGTAAATGACACATCTTACGCTATCAATTGTGGTATATTTTAAATTGTGCTCACTCATTTTGTATTATAGACTATAATTTATAGTAAGTTATTTTAGTTTTAATTCTATCATATTATTATAACATATTAAATGACTAAAATTATAAATAAAGTTTATTTATTAATGTATGTTAACTGAATTAAAAAATTAGCAAATAGCATTAAAATAACTGATCATAAATAGTTATCCTGGTCATTCAATAATTTATACAAAAATAAAAAGTATTTTATAATTTTTAAATAACGATTGATTGTTTCGGACAGTGAATGGAGAATATATTGTGAAAACTCGACACAAATGGACAAACTTTTTGATTGTTTCGCACATCATGGACGTCATTGATGTATATGTGGGGCAAAAGGCAATGCCTTTCAACCATTTTCTTCCTTTTCTGGTCTTCACTGAGAAGACATCGACACGTGTTGTCAGAGATTCAAGTCTTGAACCATCAAAATGGTAAGATATACACCATTACCACCACTTCCATCGCATCCAACACTTCACACTCACCACAATTTACTCGCAATTAATGTCTCGTTAATACTATTAACGCATAAATAGTTTAAAACTAACGTAAAACTCGTGCCATTTATGCATTCATTTACCCATTCATTGATTGTCTCGTAAATTGTGGCCAAGAGTTACGCAAATGACTGATAACACGGATCTATTTACAGACCACAGCCGCGTATCGGCCTTTGGTTAGTGTCTACACCGATAAGAGCGAGAGTTCTGGTGTTTCGGTGAAACTTCCGGCGGTCTTCAGAGCACCCATTCGTACGGATGTCGTGAACTTCGTGCACACAAACGTCCGCAAGAATAAGAGACATCCATATGCTGTCTCTCGGGAGGCCGGTATGTATGAGTGCCCACACTCTCACCTCTCACTCCCCTTTACCACTGATGACCACTGCTTTTGGTCCGTGTTTATGACCCACACTTGGGATTTGATTTCTCTTTCAAAAGCTCTGATTTTACTCTTTATTTCAATTTATTATCCTTTTTATGGATTCGGTATTAATTGTCTCGATTTGTCGCCAAACAGGCCATCAGACGAGTGCCGAGTCCTGGGGAACGGGTCGAGCCGTGGCTCGTATTCCTCGAGTCCGAGGCGGCGGTACTCACCGTTCAGGTCAGGGAGCCTTCGGTAATATGTGTCGCGGCGGACGTATGTTCGCACCGACGCGCACGTGGAGACGTTGGCACCGAAGGGTGAACCGCAATCAGCGCCGGTATGCTATTGTCTCGGCTATTGCTGCGTCGGGCATCCCATCAGTGGTTATGAGCAAAGGTTTGTCTTATAATTGACTGGATTTGTTGGATATTTGAATCATACGTTGACTGCAATGTCAGGTCATCTGATCGAAGAAGTGCCGGAATTCCCGTTAGTGGTGTCCGATAAGATCCAGGAGTACAATAAGACCAAACAAGCCGTTCAGTTCTTGAGGAGTATTAAGGCCTGGAATGACATCGAAAAGGTCTATAAGTCGAAGCGATTGAGAGCCGGAAAGGGAAAGATGAGAGACAGACGTCGCGTCCAA